CCGTGACTCCCTCGCAGGTGCTCGTCCGGGTCGACCTTGGAAAGCTCTCGTCTCCTTCGCGTCCTCTCACGTGCTTTCGCCAAGCGGGCCACAGCTCAAATGCCGGGCGCTAATCCTCCCGGGCGCACGCAGGGCTCGTTATCCCCGCGAGGGGGCCTTATCTCGCCTGATTAGCGCGTGGCTCCGTGGCTCCGCTAATCGCGGGAACCGCGTCATGCCCGTGTTCTGGCGCGCGAAATTCGAGAGATTGCAGGAGTTTTTTTCGGGCCGTCTCGTGGCCTCGAGGTGCCTATTCGGGACTCTCGCCGTCCTTGGGGTGTAGAGTGGCCTTCCCCGTCATGCCGTTCCAACTCTCGATCCGCTTTGCGCCTGGAAGAGGGTGCGATAGAAAATGCCTTGCGTCAACAAAAAGGGCGTAATAATGAAGGCGTGCGACCCGGAGTCAGGTGTCGTGCGCCCATGACGGGTCCATCAGCAGCGGTCGTCTCTTGACTCCCAATCCTGGTCTTCTTCCTCCTCTTTTCTCCGGTGAGGTGGCGTCATTCTGTCAAGATCGCGGGAGTCGCCTCTGTAACCCTTGGTACGGGAATACATAAAAACGGGAAAACGACAACGGCGACGCGGAACAACCAACGGCGACGTGAGCAACCAACGTCGCGGGAAAAAAAGCGCAGATGCGTCCGCCCCCCAAAATGTGAAAGGACTCAGGATGCTAGACTGCACTGTTCGGTCAGGCTATGCGGCCCTTAACGGACGGTAAACGTCATGTCACAATTTATTCCACAAAAAGAAGAATTAAATACTTGAATGTGGCTTGGCAGGAATTATATATCATATTATACGATATATAATTTTAATTCTTCTTTTCGAATAGGCCTATTAGGGAAACCACATTTAAAAAAAAACATATCTTATAATCTCACGGATGATGTGGAAAAATATTGTTGAAATGTATGTATATTATCATAATTATGTAATGTATTAGAGAACTACGTTAAAATATAAGTATATCATCAAGGAACAATGAATAAATTAATAACAGAAATTTTTATGTTAATAAAAATAAATTATTTAATAAAAAAATGTTTCAATAATAATTTGGCGGAAGGTGCGCTTCCAGTATATTTCTGGTATAAGGACGCTCCTGAACCAGAGTGTCACGTGAGCGCTCGAGCGGTGAGGGTCGCTCGCCGGAATCAGCCCGAAATGTACAAATCGTTGCGAGCACTGATATGTATTAATATTATTAATTTATATTATTAATATTATTAATAGTTATATTAGTAAATAAATCAAGGAACAACATTCATTATTTTCTTATACTGTTTGCATTAATAATATCACAAAATACAATCCCGGAAAGAAGCAATTTTTTGCATACACACATCTTGGAAATACTGTAAAGTTTTCAAGTGCTGTGAGTAACCGATGGTCAATTGCAACATGATTAACAAACATCACTTATTGTATTACTATAATAATTATTATTATTATTAACATATTATATGCACATGATATGCGATGCACATAATGTGATTTAATTTAATATTTTAATTATATTTTCAACTTAATTTCATACAAATATATAACAAATATATATTTAAAATATATTTCAAATACATCATGTTTTTTTATTTTTATTTGAATTTGGCTACTTTTTCTTTAACTAATCTTTTTTTTTTAACAAACATTTCTTAGTAAATAATTTTTAAATAAATATTTATGTTTATATCTTTGATTTTTAATTATAATATGAAAATAAAAATTTAATTTATTTAAAAATTGCTGTGATTGTATATGTCATAAATGGCAGCGTATCCTATCCATACTTCAGTTTTGTTTTATCCCTACTATTTAAGTTAGTAATTTAGTGTAGTATAGAAATCTATGTGACAGACAGACTTCTAGAGATTGAGTTTCTCAACAGGGTCAGGCATGAAGACGTGAGGGTGGGAACGTTGCGCCCTGGGCGAGGCGAATTAAATTTCGTATTGATGCAGTGTCTCTCCGTTCTTGAGAAACTCGCGGGGGAGGGGCGTTTGCGACTGAAGTAGTTATCTGTCAGGGTTCTTTCCCTGGCCGGGCGCTGCTTCTAGTGCTTCCGGTGCCTGGCGGTTGATCATATTTGGCCAACTGTCGGAGGACAAGTCTCTCCTATGCTTCAACTGTGGTTAAGGAGGACACAAGGCCTTCGGGTGCCAAGTCGCGTTGCTTGATTTGTGCATCGCGCGGTTTGAAGGTTGACCATAGGGCAGGCTCGGTTGAATGCTCTCCTTTCAACGAGGGGGTGACTTCGCGTGAGAGAAATACAAATACGGCGTTGATGATTGATGGGGGGGCTACCGTTCAACCGGAGGTGAACATTCCTCCCAATGGCTAAGATAGCCAGATCAATTTGAACCACTTCAAGCCCGCGTAAGACTTAATTGCGCGGATTTGTGAGGAGGAGTGTTTGGGAATCGTGGCTCTTGCTGGATTCACACTAAATCCGATGTGCAACATTCTGCAACCAATCAGAAAGCAGAATTTTATTTCGTATCAATGAACGAATCAAAATCCTCTTTTCTAATTGCAGAGTGTCGTACGGCACACGTCGAAGTCCAGTGTGAATCCAGCATCTGTCTGAGCCTGATTCTATTCCCTTCAGGAGAATGCTTGTCCCTAGACATGCGACTTCCGTCATTACGTGGCAATGGTCGCGGTGTGACCTGCCGTGCTCCGTGGCGCGAACTATCTGGCGAACTAATGGAGTGGGGAGCAGTAGTGGTCTTTAGCTGATATTTTTCTCCAAATAAAATGACCTACGAGTTCGAGCAGGGTTCTAGCTGACTTGAAGACAAGTATCTTCAAGTACACCGGCAGACCACACTAGTATTGGGAGACTTCAACGCCCGCTCCAATTTGTGGAATAGGGGCGATGAAAACTCCAGAGGGGTCTTACTGGAATGGTCAGATAGGTTGGGATTCTGTCTGCTAAACAGGAGCTTCGTCCCGTTCTGCTAGCGCAGGAGGAGTGCGTTCTGTGGACACATCTTGAGTCATTCCCAGTGTCGTTAGGCATGTCCGTGGCTGGCGACCGAAGTGGAGTCCCTGGCGGGAGGCTCAGAGAGATCTCCGACCACAGGTATTTGTTTATGGAGATTGTAACGTCGGTGACTAGTCTCCTTACCGGGACGACATCTGGGAAGTGCTTTCCCAAATTAGATGAGGGGAAATTAAATGAGGACCTCTTGAAGGCTGATGCCTCGTTGAAGGCTTAGGCTCCTCCTTTGACTCCTTTTGACTCTGCAGACAATCGTGTTAGAATGATGGACGCTCAGAGAGATCTCCTCGCCATGCCGAGGAGATCTGCCTCTGGCAGACTCTCCGTGTACTGGTGGAATGAGATCTGCGTACCCAGTGCAATAATTGTCATAGGCGCCTTATACGCGCGACGATCCCATCCGGAATTCGAACGAGTTGTGGACGGAGCTTCGCGAGACGAGGAGGAGCATGAGAAGGGCCATATTGCGTTTGTGGAAGGAGCTTCTCAGGATTCTGGAGTCTGACCCGTGGAGCAGGCCCTGTAGGATGGTGATGAATAGACTCTTGGGAGGCTCCTTACTGGAAGTTCTCCCCATGGGGACGGTGAGGGAGATTATGCGAGCCCTCTTTTCCCGGTTGCCGGCTGGTGGATGTTAAGAGTGGAAGAGACTAGTGGAAGGGATCTAGCGGTCTCTGCGGAGGTCCGAAAGGCCTGTGTCGGAATCCCGTCTGGAAGGACACCTGGTCCGGACAAAGTAGTAGGACGGGTTGTTAGGG